AACCTGCAGCTGAGCGACGAGGGGCTGGTGGCTTTGGACTGGGCAGTGCCCACATACCAGAAACGACGCAGGACTTCCAGCCACTCCACCAGTCCTGTTCTGCTCATCATCCCAAACTCTTTTGGAAAGATCACAAGGAATCTGCTAAAGGTGCGTGTTTGGCTTCTCTCGCAGACTCCACTAATGAACATAGGGATGATAGGAGTTCAATAACTAAATCATACCCGTGCAAAAGGCTGCACAGTCAATCTTACAAAAGATCAAGACAACGAAGTTCAATAGAAGTTAAAGAATAACAAAATAACAAAACACACATACAGCTGATGGCTCAAGGATCATCATAATTTCCTCACCAAAGAAATAAACGTTAATAGTCCACAAACCTGCTAATTTAAAGGTTGGGAATATTAGTGTCAGTCTCTGCAGTAACTAACAGAATCCCATTTGTATTGGTTTTATTGGCAAGGGTAAGAATGTCCACATGAGATGCTTCCTCAGTTGTGTCATGGACTCTGTAGCTGCCCTTTGTGTCCAATCTTTGTTGTACAGCATGAGTCAACAGGCGGAACATTACAGCAGCAGCATGAGAGTGCAGGGGCCTGTTATTCATGAAAATACCATTCTAAACTTTAAAAAGCAGAAGTGAACATTTCCATAGCTAAAATGTAGAAATACTAAACAAAAACAAAGCAAATCATGTTCGAATTCAGAGGAGACATGCAAGACACAACTAAACAAAAGAGAAGTCAGGCTTTCAGTATTTTTAAAAAGATACGTGGGAAGATGCCAGGGCAACTCAACAAAGGCCATTTGGGCAAAGGCAATCACTTAGTTGGAAGAAAAGAGCAGATGTGGAGGCAGCACCAGTATTTCAACTGCTCTTTCAATGCACTGACTGAGGCAATTGAGTCAGGAATTACAAAGCATCGCTTGAGGGGCCTGGGGAAGTGAAGCGCTGCTCCACATCTCTGGGCACCTGGCATCATGCTAGCTCATCTCATACAGTTAGCTCCGCTCGCTCATTCATCACACACACACACACACACACACACACACACACACACACACACACACACACACACACACACACACACACACACACACACTGCTTTGGTTGCAAACAGCACCTTTGAGCGTAGTCTCTAACTAACCTTAGAACCATCTGGATGGCTAACCACGGGACTGCCCTGCCCAACCCAGTGTGTGTGTGTGTGTGTGTGTGTGTGTGTGTGTGTGTGTGTGTCGCAAGAGAAAGATAAAAAGCGCTGTGTTTGCTAGGCATACACACACACGGCTCCATCTGTGACAGAGAGAAGAAACAGAGAGGGAAGGGTAGGTTTGTATTTAGCGTGTGAGGGCTTTGGTCCCTGTCCCCTTCTTCTCCTAACACGCCACATTTCCAGCACTCATGAATGTATGAATGAGCCATTTCCTTTTAAATCATTCATATACTTACTTTCAGTTTGTTTCATGCTTCTTTGTTTTATGTAGTCTCAAGTAATTCATGTCTCTTTAAATAATGGTATAGGTGGTTATATATAGTGTGGTCATACCAAAACATACAGAATACACTGGCATTAAGTATTTCTTCAGTCATTCAGTTGGTAAGTTAGTTCAACAACAGTGCAGTGAAATACATTACAATAGAATCGTATTACACATTTACCAAAAATAAAATATCCATTGTTCTCTCTGGAAATAAACTTGTTCGATTTCTTGGAGAGTTAGATGTGAAAGTTGAAACCACTCTGAGCAGAGCCAACTGTCTGCTGCAGTATAAGCTCCTATGTACACTGTGACAGTTAACTGTACACTGACCGTACGAGTTCGAACAATCTTATCGTAACTTTCAACAAGAAAGTCAAGAAATAGTAACAAAATGTTTAAAATCACAACATTATTATGATCTAAATGTACAAGTCCAAGTGATTCTGAATTCACAGCTACCCTTTCTTAAAATCTCTTGATCTCAATCATGAACAAACTACAATTTAAACCAGTTTCCCTCCACCTCAGAGAAGATGTCCCACAAAAAGGACAGTTTAATATACTGAGGGTGTGTATGAGCCACATACTCCGTTTAGAGAAATGTGTGGAAAAACCATAAATGTTCCTGGAGACTTGCCTCGTGATTAATATCCTTAACAGAGCAGATCGACCTCTGAGCAGTTTAACTATAATTGTGTGACTTAGTAGTGATTTATTCAGTATTTTGTTGCCAATCATTATTGTACTTAAAGTATTTGTTTCTCTTAATGAGGTGTGATATGCTGTAATCCAGTCATTATGTGTAATATACCACTCAACACTTAGATAATTGTGTTTCAGACCATTCCTTTTTACTTTAGTTTTCAAAAGGCATTGCAGGATTGGATAACACTCTAAACGCTCATGTAGTAGAAGTGGGAAAGTTTTACCATTAACCGTAATGACTAGATCAGTGAGAGATGGTAACAGTAGCAGCAATACTTAGGACATATGCCCTGATATCTATGTCCATATAACATTGCAATGAGAAGTAGAGAAGCAATTCGGAATTAGATTTGTGTGTTCTGTCCCCTTATGTCTGTATACTAAGACAGTTAGTCATTGTATTGTGTTGCCTATTGCTTTGAAATAAAACAATGATTGTGTGTAAATAGTTGATTTTCAGTTTGAAAGTATAGGAATATACTTATGTACATATTGGGTCAGCAAGGGAGGAATAGGGAGGATTTGTAGCCCATAATTGTCCTGCTACATTACTCATATCAAATTGGTGTTGGTGTTTGCACACAGAAGACATTTTCCCCAGACGTTCAGCAACATTCAAAATTTCCCCAACACTTTTCCAAATCGTGCCTTGCACTACCTGGAATATTCCATCTGCCCTTCTGGTTTTGGCAGCACTCCTGTTATGACTCATGGCTGATGCTCTGTCTTCAAATAGATGCAAAAAATCAACTTCCTTACCAAGCAGGGAAGAAGTAGATGCTTATTTACATCGCTTCACTTTATAATAAGACCAATAAGAGAAACACTCTATGAGGCATGTAAAAATGGTTGGGAATTTAATTCTTGATGTTTATTGTGGCATATATCCTTAATAATAGATAGCTATTATGCCCATCGAATGCTTGATTACGATGCTTGTCCGTTTGAAATTCAGCCAGAGGAATAGATTGTCTTGCAACTTCACAGTGTATTTTAAAGTCCATTTGTAAACGTTCACAAGACACAAAAAAAGGAAAAGAATCATGCTTATTTTAGCTTTTTTATTTCAAAGTAGAAAAACCCCTGTTGTCTTCTGAAATGCAAAGGGTTGAAGAAGAAACCAACAATATTGATGCAATGAATTGGTTCAGACACTACCAAGCAACTCTCTATGAGGATAGCATTTAATATATAACACGTAGAGTAACTGTGAAAGAAATGATCTGATTATTTTAACTTTTAGCAACTTTCTAGCATAGCTTATCAACAGAGCAGGGAAGACATCTACATGTAAGGCTGGGTGAAACTATACACTACTGTATGTATGCATTTCAATATCAACATCTTTCAACTAAATTGTAATAAATAAAAACGTATTAATTAATTAATTAATTAATTAATTGTATAACTTATTTATAAAATGTTGGCTGCACTCCTGAACATTACCAACTCAGAGGAGCAACTGTTTTACCTGGAAAAGTATCACAGGCCTGTTTAGTATTAGGGGAAACTATTGACCTGAATAGAGGACAGCTCATTGTATTGAGATGCTTTGTTGCCTCTAAAAGGCTTCTAATTAAATAACATCCTTAATTTAACATGATTTGTGTTGTGTTCAACATGTCGAGATGAAACTCCTGGAGTTTGTTTAATAAAAGAGGTGGACTCGTGGAAGATCCCCTCAATTATCATGAAGGGAATATTGCTGTACGTATTGTTTAAGGCCTTTTGTATTTATGTGTTTCAGTGCAGTGGGGGAAGAGAACGTCTCTTGTGTGTATGTTTGTTGTGTGTGTAAGAACACTAGTGTGTATGAGAGCTGGCATGTTGTCCAGCGTATGGAGTCCCTGCTGCAGGAATTTGTCACAGAGCTGACAGTTTATCAGCTCAGGCAGAAAACTGCCGGAGTAGCAGCTGTTTGTTTTTTAACTGTTCCTACAATGACACAGAGCTGAAAAAATACAAATTCAGTGTCAACACAGCCTTTTGGGAACAGACCCTTAATCTGCATAGAATTTATAAATGGATCACTTTACTACATTTAAAACTAATAAATAGTCACATTAAGTAAGCACTCTGGACTAATGTTCCCTCTCAGCTGGCAAATGTATTTGATCGTCAAAACAGTATTCATTATTGCAATCAATAATTAGCTTTTTATTCTGAACAAAAAGTATTTTTTTAATGTTTTGCTCTTTTTTATTGTGACCAGTTGTTACTCATCACTCATGCCTGTTATTCACAAAGTGCATCACATCAATGTCGCTGTATGTACTGAGCAGGCAGGCGTAAACCCAGCTCACCTTATTTAATCTCAGCAACCTTCATATGCACTTTAAATTATGAAATGTCTCATCATGTGTCTAAATATCTTTGGGAATAAAGCTGAACTAAAGTGACTCAGTTTAATTTGAAATTGCTCGTCCTATCCTGTCATATTTCTAAATGCTACTGTATCTATGGAATTATTAAGGAGGGGGCAAATGAATGAATGCATGAATGAATGAATGATGTTCTGCTCAGTGCTCTCTGACACTGCCTGGCAACATATTCAGCTGAGTAAATCCTATTTCTTTCTTTTTTTTAAACCCAACAAGATCCTACTGCAGCCTTTCTCAGCTGCTAAATATTTAATGTAACTACTCTGCAGCTCTCCCTGAATCCCTCTGATATTTCTGCAGATTTTAAAAAGCATTATGAAACTCGTTTGAAATCTCACAAATATATTCAAATACAAATATATTTGCCCAGGCTACCACCATTGTTTTGTGACTACAAAGCTTGTAGAGAAACAAAGAATGCACATACTCTTCTTTTTCCAGACAAACCCTCTGTTTGTGTAATGGATTTAATAATGTATTCTAAAAGGTCATATTCAGCAACTGGAACAGAGCTTTTCAGAGCTATTTCTACGACTTTATGATTATAAAGTATACATTTTGGCCTGACTAATTTCTGATCATGTGTCATATGTATTTTTTCCTTTCAAAATGTATACCAAGTATGTTACAAACACTTAACACTATAATAACACATAAACAAACAAAGAGATCTACTAAAATATCTGATACAACAAGAAGTTAATATTTTTCTTCTGCTTTCCTTCCCTGACACCGCTACAGGCGTGTAATGTTTCTAGTAAAGAACAATTTACTGTAAACATGCAGAGAGAGAACTAGCAGAACTATGAGATTTGAGAGCCAGTTTCTGAAGAGCCTTAAGATAAAGTTATGCTAAACATTACAAAAAAGTGAAAGTAACAGGAAAGGGGTATTACTTCTCATTCACTTGTATAACATTTTCTTACATTCATTTATTTAGCCCTAATGTCTCATACTGTCAAATTATAACAAAATAAACAATCTGTAGTATTACAGTGAACAGTGCTGAAGCAGCACAGTTAAAGAGGGAAACACTTAATCCTGTAATTTTACCGAGTTCTCACCTCCCCTGGCGACTGTTTATTTCTTTTTCCATACAGTAAAAAGTAGAAGTAACATGCCGTTTTCAGGTCTTACATCCGCATTCAGTCTAATGACATGGAAACCATTTTCTAAAAGGAGGCATTGTTTCATTCTGTGTATAACCAAGACACCAGTTCACACTAAGTTGGCTTTTTTATTAAATCATAGGTCCTTTTCAGCAGGACAAAAATAAAAATTGACTAAAGGTGGATCTTGTCTTACTCTTATGGCTGAACACACTAAACACTGAATTCCCCAGCAAACGCCCACAATCCGTAATATGTTTTTGACATATGTAAAGATTATTATTTATTTTCTCCACCCATCTCCCCACAGTTGTGTGAAACGGCACTGTCCCATGGCTACCTCCCTGCAGTTTTCAACCGCCGAAGCCACAACGGCACCCCGCTGACCACCCTGAAGCTGCAGCAGTTCGGTGACCCTGCAGATCTGCGAGAGGCAGTGCGCTACATTCGACACCGACAGCCTGCAGGGAAACTGTATGCAGTGAGTGAGAGCACCGGGTCGGGCCTCCTCCTCTCTTACTTGGGGGAGTGTGGATCATCTAGCTACGTGACGGCGGCCGTCTGCCTGTCCCCAGTGTTTCGCTGTCAGAGCTGGTTTGAGAACGCGCTGTGCTGGCCCCTGCAGTGGGCGTTGGCGCTCTACCAGAAGATATGTCTCAGCAGGTATGTGGCAAAATGGTTATAATACCTGAAAACAAAATATAAAGATGAGGTTAACCAAACATTCAAGAAAACATGACTTTGTAAGCTTCCAAAAGAAAAGTATGGCTCATAACAATGTGTCCTCTGTACATATCCTTAATGATTATGATATTCTACTCACCAAAGTTAATGTTGGGACGACAGGGACACCACTGCATGTCTGTCAAACAAAAAACAGGAAATGATCCGACAGGTTGTAAATAGGATCAGAAGTTTTGTCAAGATGAGATGAAAACAACTATAATATGAGCACACTAAAATGTCAGCTACCTCATTACACAAGCAAAATATGTGCACAATTACAGCAAGTAGGGTAGTTCTTAGTCTATCCTGAAATACATTTAGCAACAGTTACCTTATAGTTTGTTAAAAATGGTGTTGTGGCCACCTTCCCAGGTATCAGCAATTAACTTTAATAATTACTAATAGGAAACAATGACCAGAACAACCTAAATAACTTTTTGACCTATCAAGTAATTACATTTCTAAAGGAGGGTGCACAGGAGCAGCACGTACACATCCTATGCTTTGGAACACAGTGCACTAGTTTAAGCAAGAATATTGAGAAATTTACCGCAGGGAATTTATCACCTTGTCAATAATATAAACTAAGCTTCATAAGGTTGCTGCTTAAGGTATACAAAATCACAGTAAAGACAAATTACACAGAGACAACCATATATGTATGGATTTAAAGTCAGCCAGAAAGGAGGCACGGTGACAGAGGGAGTGTAAGAAAAGCAGACACAAGTAATCACTAACCATTTACTGGAAAGGCACAGACAATTAAAGAGATTATTAGGTTACTATAGCAACAGATGGCCTGCTCTGTGTAAAGTCATTGATTCTGAGAGACATCGTGACCCAGGTAGAGTTTCTCAAATCAATGGCACCGGGGGAATATGAGACCCATCCAGCTCTTCAAAATTGATTTACTGGTATCCTCTTGTTGTATCTCTAAATGTGTGTTCTTTTTGTGTGCATGTTTGTGTGCGTGTACGTGGTTAGGTACAAAACGGTGCTGGGTGAGACCATACAGACGGACACCCTGTTTTCCAGCTGTTCCCTGCGTGACCTGGAGGAGGCGTTGTTCTGTCAGACAGCAGCACCACCGGGGACGAGCAGTAGCTGCAATACCTCAGCTACCTGGGATGTTTACTGGGAACGCAATGAACCTTTGAGAGACGTGGACGAAGTGGCTATTCCTGTTCTGAGTGTGTGCGCACAGGATGACCCGATCCGCGGTGATGCCCAATCAACAATACCCTTGGAACTCTTTGAAACAAACCCACATTTTTTCCTCCTCCTAACTGACCATGGTGGTCACTGTGGTTTCTCCACCCAGTCCGAGGGGAGCCACGCTGGGGCATCTGGTTCAGTCGGTCCTGTGGCTGCACCAAGCAGTGGGATGGGGAGCCGTCAGATCAGCTGGAGCCACAAAGCTCTGCTGGAGTTCTTCAGGGCGACCACAGACTTCTTCGCTGCAGAAGAGAGAACCAAGCAGCTCGCTGCCAGGAGGAGGGGGCTGGGGGGAGGCGCAGCGGGGAGGACTTTCCGCAACCGCAGCGTCAGTACGTGTAAACGTGTGCCAGAATGTTCCCATAATATCCATGCCATTTACAACTGGCAGCGGTCCTATACACGATGAGGGGAGCTTAATGGAAGCTAATGGACTTACTGGTGCTGTCTGATATTGTTTGGGTTGATCTGGGATGTGAAGAACTCTGCCTGTGTGGCACTCAGTGTTAAGATGTCCAAAATTGGAAAAGTGCAGATGTTGTGAAGCACTGAGGTCACCGAGTGTTTTTAAGTGTGTATGGTTCTCAGACACTTGATGTTAGCCGTAAAACACTCAGCGTCATGACAGGCCACATGCTTGCATGCAGTTGTTATGTTTAACTGCTGACACTAAACTCACCTATAGATGAGTGGCTATAATTTTTTCTACAGACTGATACAAATCTCTTCACTAACAGCTGTCAAGGATCCTGTCACACATACATTATTGTTTATCAGATTTATTCATCTTCCTCACAATTCACACAGTTTACAAAATTTATTTGTAACCCACTTACTGCAGTATCTTGCTGGTATTCTTTTTATCACTGACTATTGGAGGAGACGTGTTCAATGTATTGTGCATAGAGAGGAAAGGAGATAAAAATCCTGTAAAATATGAAGTTAATTCAATCTAAATGTCAAATGAGTTCAACTCATCAGTGTTACTGTACATTTTACAGAAAGTATATTTTTAAGTGTTCTCTTCTGTGTTGGGAAATGTCTTGTGATGCCCAGAATAGAAGAACGTATGTGTGATTTCAACGAAGTTCGCTTTTAGAGGAAAATGAGGTGTGTCATGAGGTAATGATATTTGAATAAGCTGGCTGGAAACACTTTATCATTTAAACCCTGTGCTCCAAGGTTTCAGTGCTGCTCAGGATGTGGAGGGGGTGGAGCTGTGATTGAGGCTGGTTTCAAATGAAGACCTAGCAGCATAATGCTGTTCGGACATTCCCCTGTAAAATTGAGCTATTTGGGTTTAGTCTTGTGAATTAAGCCAATTAATTATATACATTTACATTAGACATAGTAATAAGTATTGGGTTAAAAGTGTTCGGAGATTTCAAAGGTCATCTCAAAAGTTCAATAAGCAGCAAGAATCCAGGGTTCAGAGTAGTAAAAAGCCTCAGGACATAAAACTACCAAGCACTGTTTGTCGATCATTTTTTTTTCTTTTCATAAACATGTGATACACCTTTCTTAATGTGTTATTTTGTGTGATTGAAGTTAAAAAATTAAAAAAATATTAAAAATGTATAAAAAATTAAAAGTTTGGATTCACTACATTTTGTATCTACAATATAAGAATAACATGTATCCTTCGACTACAGGTAAGTAAGTGTCATACTGACACTGCATATTGCATAGTATAATATTGTTTTATAGTTTTTTTACTTATATCATCTGTATTTATTGAGTGCATTTCATTAAAGTTGGGATCCGTGCTCCTGTCAAACCCTTGCTGAGTAGATGCCCATAGACACTCCCTATTATAGCACAGTTCCCACCGCTTTGTGTGTGTGTTTGTAAGAGTGTGTGACATTCACTGCAGTGTTTGTCCGCCCACTGAGCCTTATCCTCTCAGACAGCTGGAACACAGCAGTGTACAGTACACATAAAATGTGTGCCAGCAGACACATTGTCAACATGCATCCTCACATCTCACAGAAACATGCAAGCTGTCACAAACATGCAGGATATTCTTACACATGTTCATTATCTACAGGAGGTTTGCTAGTCTCATGCACAAAATAACTGATTGTGGCGTACACACACATACAAACACACACACAAGCTCACAAACACAGTGACTACTATATGTAAGTGACACCATCATTATTCCAGATAATGCTTAGGTTAAAGTAGTCGGAAGTGATTACAAGCAACCTGGCTAATTACTGTATGAACACGAAATTCAAAATATCTAAGACTGCTATCATTGTCCATGTTGTACAGTAGATGGGACCCAACAAGCCATGATAACAACACGGTTGTAACTGTCAACCAAAATGTTCTGTGGTTCTGTCTTTTTCTCTTCCCTTTAAACATATTCAGCCTTGGTCTTAAATCAGGTATCTGAATAATAGGTTTCAGAGTTTGACCTACCGGTAGTTCAATCGTGCAGTCTGTCTCATTATTATGCACATGACCATGCACACGTTAATGTTTAATTACAGCAGTATTTGAGTGTGCTTTATTAAGAGTTTAATATTCAAATATTAAGGCCTAATAGGCTTAAATACAGGGCTTCTGACAAGTAATGCCTGCACGTAATTAAAAATAAATCTCACTACTGGTGTCATTAAATGTGTGGGCTTTCTGTAAGTAACAGGCACACCAACATCTGTCTTTTCAATATACAGTAAATATGCTCCCGGATCCAGGTGCTGTTCCTTTTGTAGACACACATCTTCAAGCTTTAAAGAAATGAAGCAATCTTTTGTTTATTATGAGCTTTAAGCAGCAATATTCTACATTTATGTGATTCAGATTAGATGGCACATTATTTCACTCCTATCTTGACATTATCGGAAAAAACATTAAAACTCTGGGATCTCTATGTAAGGAACGTCTGTGGTTCTTTCATACAGGAAAGGAAATGTGGCCAGCAAATGGTGAAAATGAGTATACGTGACAGCAGGGGTACCATGCAAAAAAGGGCTTCATTCAACCTTTCCCATTTTATTGTTCACATTAAGCTTAATAATTTACGACTAAAGGCAGACTCTATTTTTCCTAGCAATAAACGCTGGCTTTCATTTCCTTTCACTAGCAAATTAAGCTATTAAGATTGAACTGCCCTTTCCCACTTTGCTTATTCAATTCAGACCCAACCCTCTGCCTCAGTGATCAGAAACTGATTGAATTAAAATGATTGATATTTAATTAAGAAAGAGCTTGACATTCACATCACTTTGATTACACATAATCAAAGGTTCTCTAAATCGATGCTCGCGCTCTGTAGGGCATTTGCTGAACCAGGACAATTAAACGAAAATATGTTTGTATCATCCCATGAATACACAATGCTTACTGAATTATAATCTTAATCAAAATAAAGAGGTAGAATTGGGGAGTCAGAGGCTGATTGATACATTACGCCCATAGAGTAAATACTCAATAGCACAGTTTTTACATTCAGGTAAAAGTCTAACAAACAAGATTTAGTCGAGTCGACACCATATTAAGGAAGACTGAATCATTTTTGAAAGAAGAAATTACACATTATTTATCTTACAAATAAAAAGCTGAATTCATAATTTCGTACCTCAGTTTAGTACACTATAGGGCCTTTGCTGCTTCGGAGAAAAGTTTGACATTTGGGCATATACAGTATGTCTGTTTTATTTTGTGCCTGAAGTTAAATGAAGTGTAAAAATGTCAATGTGTGGATTTACGAGGATTTCTGTGCAATAAAGTACTTTTTTCAGCTGGGTGTAAAAAGTCCTGGAGTCTCTACCGGATTCCTGAGAAGCTGATGGTGACACTCAGTGTTGTTTTAGCACTTTGGCTTCATGACAGATTAAAAAAGCCATCTATCATGTTCTATTTCATCCTTACTGACCGCCAGAGGCGGTGCTTTAGCACTGGATATCTTCT